TGTATGTATATATACGGTTTCAAAATGTTTGCAAATGGTTTTAATTCCCGGTATCCATGTGAGTAGAGAGTGCAGCACTGTTCCTTGCAGCCGAGGGAGAGGTCCTCTCTTGTCAGGCAGTGCTTGATCATTATGGGCTGAGAGGTTAAGTGTAAGACTATTTAGGATAATACCTGATGGGTTAATCTAGCACCTGCCCACAGTCCCTGGGTTTTTATAAGATGGTTTGGCCCAGGGACCACTTAATGTAAGTGTTGGGCCCATAGGGTCCATTTGATGGGCTCAGGGGTTCACGGGGCTTCTCAGTGAATTCGGTTAGGCCTTGTAATGAAGGTTGGGCCAAACCCATGTGGTTGGTGTGTAGATCAATGCTTGGGTCCCACGCCATACAAAGAAGCCAACTAGGTAGTGGATTGGAAACTAATTGAGCACTGGTTATTTAATGGGCCAAAAGCCCATTTCAAACTAGGCTGATATGATCACCCACTTAAGGGGCGGATCTGAGATTAAGGTTAKSAAAAGGATTGGGCCTTTAACCTAATCCACTCTAGGAGACCAAATTCAAATCAGATTTGAATATGGTAATCTCCTGATAAGATCAAGAGTTAGCTAACCTAATCTACAGATAGGATTAAGATCATCCCCTATCCAGATGCTGATTTGGATTGGGATAACTCCTAATTAGGAGATTTCTTAATCAAGAAGAAAATAGGAGAAACTCTAAGAGAGATACAACAGAATTCGAACCTAGGGTTTTTGAGCAAGAAAACATCCTGTGAACTGAGATAGGATCTCATACACACTCCAGAGAGAAGAGAAGCAATCTTCGCCATCTTCATCTCAAGAGCTCTCCTCTAGCCGCTGCCATTCTAGAGGATTCTTGCGAAGGATTCAGTGTGTAGGACGCACTCTGCTGGTTCCGTTCCAGTTGGAAGAAGGTAGGAAAATTTTTAAAATTCGCCCACCCATTCCGCAACCTTTTTGGCGTCCATACGGTGGATCCTACCATTCTTTCAGGACCCAACAAAAACTCCAGGAGATGTTGATGGGTCCCATGAAACTAAAGTTACACCAACTGCATGAGCTTGGTCGATCCTTGCAGTGTCCCATCCACCATCAGCACGGGCGGTAAAGACGGAGATGTTTCCATCTGATGATCCACAAGCCAAATAGAGGCCAAGTTCATGAGGAGCCCATGCAATGGAATCCATAGAGGACTTATGATCATCACTAAAAACATGAGCTTGACTCCACTCGTTCTGGTTTCCTTCCTTCCAAATTATCACTAGTCCGTCGTAGGAACAAGATGCAAGGATGGAGCCGAACTTAGGGTGAGCCCAGGCAACCTGCCAAACGGGGCCTTGATGACCACTCAAAGTAGCAAGATGCTGAGAAGCTGAATTGCAAACCCCAATTATCTTGATGGTGTTGTCAGAACATGCCGTAGCGAGACGCTTGCCGTAGTAATCCATGGTCACATCATGAACGGTGTCTTGATGTCCCGTCTCAATCTTCATAGGTGGCGTTGCTTCTTCCAACAAAACAACTCGTACGTCTAGATTGCACTCGCCTGTTGATCGATGAATCGATCAGCTCAGAATTTAACTTTAACAGAGCTCTCTCTCTTCCCTTCCACTCAGAATTAATCCCTACAGAGAAAACCTAATAACACATTAGTGAAGGTCGCAATGTTGCATATGTTGCCTTGAACACAAAGCTCGTCCAAGATCTTATATTTCATCAAATAAGAGTGACACCAGAGAGGCAGAGAACGTGTATGAATTTGGTAACCTGGAGCTTCATTATAGGTACCGAAAGATCCAAAACAAAAAAGTTAATCGTGGATCAAGATACTAGGGCATTCCAGGTTGAATAGAAACACTAATTCAGATATTTGATATCGCTGATTCAAGATCAGATTCACATATTTCGGAAGTAAAATGGCAACCAATAATGAAAAATAAAAGCAAATAGAAATAGATCACTATCTGCTGGAATCAATAACATAAATGGACAGAAACATCCATAGGCTCGAGAGGACGTACTCCCGAGCAAAACCGCGAAGCTTTACAGTTACAGGAATGCCGTACTCCTGTTCAATCGGGGAAAAACTTTGGCTGTCGGGGGCTTTCTGTTGAGAGAGTTTCTGGGTTGGGCACGTTAGCATAGAGTGAGTAAAGTAGTAATTGTCTTCTGATTTATTTCGACTAAAAACCAAGGGTGAAACTTGGCCGGGCCCAGCCCAAGTCTGAAGCGCTCTAACTCAGAATTTTATTAGGGAAGGGCTTGGATTTTTGGTCCTAGGTTTCATTCGGGTATAAGAAGAAGTTTTTTTTTTTTTTTGGGGGGGGGGATAGGTAGCCCGAGCCCGGCCCAATTATATACATTTATACATATATATGTATACATATAAATGTTGTATATACATTTACATATATACATATTTGTATATATAATATTTGTATAAATATTTTACATATATATTTATACATACATAAATATATGTATGTATATATATTTGCATAAATACATTTATATATCTATAATTTTAACGTGGGTTCATTGACTAACCCAAGCCCAGCCCGGGCTTGAGCCCAACCCGAGTACATCAAATTATAGGGCAGGCTGGGCTCGGGTTGGAAAAAACGGGCTTGACCTTGGGCTCAGACCTTAAGCCCAAATTTTGGGATCGGGCCTAGGTTGACCATAAACCCAGCCCAACCCACCTGACTTGCACCCCTAGTAAAAACAAAAGCATGCCCGTATATTGGTGAACTGATGTGATCGTGCCCAACCCAGAAACTCTCTCAACAGGAAAGGCTTTTGGGGGCCATTGGTGGATCAATTCGTTAATTATGTGAATGGATCCTACTGGTTTAGGACAGGGTGGACCAGTTTCTGGCTCAATTTGGAAGGAGTACAAATACAAATTTATAGAGTACAAAACCTTGCATTTTATATTTTTTTGTATGTATTTGTACTCTTTCCAAACTGAGCTATAATATACACTTAAAACTGAACCAAGTATTCAGGATAATCAGGTCTTACACATTATACTTCACATCTATAATTACTGAATTACCTATGATATAACAACTCCCAATTTCATTTTTTTATAATATAATTTAATAAAACGATAATAAATAGTAAATTATTTATATGCCCATAAAACATATTTTAATCAAAACTAGGCCTGGCAATTGGGTTCGGGTTGGGTCAAGACACCTCGGGTTGATTTCAGGTTGGGTTGTCAAATGCTAGACCCTAACCCTAAATATTTGGGATAGGGTTGACCCATGGATCAATTTGGGTCATCCGAAAAACATTTTGAAATTTAAAAAATAAAGAAAAAAATACATGAAAATTGTTAAAACTAAAGGAATTAACCTTAAAATTCCAAATATAAAATAAAAAACTTGAATATTTAACAATTCAAAGAATAAACAATAAAGAATAAAGACTAAATAGAAAAAAAAAATTAAAGAGTGAAAACATCTAACAATACACAATAGTCTCAATTAGACCTGACAATTGGGTCAGCGGGCTGACCCATGACCCAATTAACCCAACCCAACCCAACCCAATTTTTTCTGGGTCAGGTCAGGTCATTCTCACACTTAGGTAGCTAAATATGAGACCCTAACTCTATTTTTTCAGGTTGGGTAGGATTGGGTTTGCAGATTGGGTCAACTTTTTGCCAGGTCTAATCAAAATTATATTATATTAATGGGTTCAACAATGATATAGAAAAGATATAATATCGGAAAAACAACTTACCAATAAATCGAAATCGTAAACATGATAGTGAATCAGGTGTCATTTATCAAAATTCATGGGTGGGCTTTTAATGGAGGGTGATTTGACCCGACCTCCTAAGAAGGCGACACGTGGACGTGACTCAGCATAAGCAACAACTCAACATGACAGTCTGGCTACAACTGAGTAACGAGCTCGTTAAGGTCCTCGCGGGACAGCTCGCTACATTACAACTCGCCATGGAACGAACTCGCTACAATGCGAGCTCGAGTACCCCAGTGTACTAAAAGGGAATACTCTAAATCAAGTCTATCCCAGCTCGCGAGCTCGGATAACCAGCTCGCTCCAATACTTAGGCAAGAGGACTGCCCCAAAGGCAACCTCAAGCGGAACCACCTTGGGATACCTCCAGGAGCTCGCTACTAAGCGACGCGGCGTTTTCATGAAGCTTCTTATCTGACGAGACCATACCCGTCAGACTGCACCACGTCTCCTGATTGACGGCGCGGTCCCTGCCAGCCCAGCAGACTGCACCCACGTCTCTCGACAGGTGGTGGCGTGTCTGTCCTTTCCGGGTCGTGTCTCTCATCCGATTGGGCAGTACTCTACAACGGTTACCTGCACAGCCCTGGCAAATAACGGTTGCGCCAGAGGGCCAGTGGCGGTTACGCCCGATTTGACAATGACATCTGTATTTAAAGGCCCCAGTGTCGAAGGGGCAAAGGTATCTCGAATTAATCTTGAACTTAAACTGATCTAGCGCTATCTGCACTCTTAGCTCTCTTTGCACCCTTTACAGGTCTCTCAAGTGTTCTAACTTAAGCATAGGAGTATTCCCACCGGGCGAGCTCCCCGGGAATCCTTCATCTTCCTCTTCTCAGGTACTGTCCGTCGCCAATTAGGAATGCCCGGATCGCGCTGCATCAACTTTCATTGGTCAAAACTCTTTCCATATCATATCTTTCCTGTATCATAGATTTTCCCTATATTAATATCTATAAAATTTATCAATTTAGACATAAAATATAACAAAAATTACAAAAAATAGGATACCTTATATATTGTTCATTATATAATCGGCTTAGATCTTAATCAGTTAAAAAAAAACTGGTTCTAATCCAACTATAATCGGGATACAAAACTCAGAACCGGAGCCAATATAAATATATAATCAGTTTGGGTGATTTGGTTCTATAAGGTAGATCGTCCGTTTGACAACTATACAAATTGTGGCCAATACTTTGATGTGGACCACTAAGACCTTGTATTAATTTTTTAATAATTTAACTGAGAGAATAATATCCCCCAACCGGCTTAAAAAAATAATAATACTCCAAAAAAATTGAGAAGATGTTTTTCGCACAAGCATAAAAATATTTTATTAGGCAGAGTTGACAAATGAGATATTAATTTATACCTTTACCTTTTAAACCCATTTATTTGTTGGTATTTAGTGAGGGTAATTTGGTCAACCAATAAATTGACCACGACTGTTGTATTCATTTGTTATAATATTGGGTCCTATGGTAATTGAAGATATCGGAAAGTACCAGTTATTGAAACCCTCCTACAAGGTGGATAAGTAATTTATCTGCGCGCTGACAAGGCTCTTTCCCTCTCTTCTCTCTCTTTATCCATAAAACTTACATCGCACAAAAACGTTGAAACCTCACTTGCCTGATTAAATTTTATCATAGAAACACTTGTCCGGATAAACACATTTATCCACATAAATAAAAATAAACAAAGACTTAATTGTATAATTACATAGCAAATTAGCAAGTACCTCACATCAACATATACAATACACATATGTCATCTAAATATTAAAACATGTTGGCTTTGTCACAAATGCACTACTTATTTCATCCTACATAGATCGCTAACAAGGAGACATGAAGGGTGTTAAATAACTAATTTATTTTCTTTCTGATTGGGTTTTAATTGTTAGGGAGAAGTATAAATTAGCCCAATTTACTAGGCCCAAAGTACAGGGGAATGCATCCTGACCGTGAATTGATGTCAAATTTACGGGCAGAATGTGATTTATAGGGGGACAGGGTTAATTGGAGGGTGCTGAAATTCAGAATTCTACATCGTATGTCTCCGTACTTTTCCCTGATTGTTATGGATTCTAGAATTTGAAATGACATTAATTGTTATAGCTAATTTAAAGGTCTCATCTTAAGGGAGATTGGTTGCTGAATGCTGATTTGATAATTGACATGAAACCACAAAGCTCACCGGCGAGTGGTAATGGTTTTTTGGCTTCAGCAGTGTTGATGGAAATGCAAATAGAGACCTATAAGATCTCGGAAACCGATTTGATGGGATGTGTATTAATTGGTTTATTCCAGCGTTGATGCGAAAGTTATTGAATAAAAAAAAAAAACTTTCTTAAAGATTGGGATGTACCCAAATCTCAATTATTAAGGTGGCATTTCGTTCATATGGTAAGTTATATTATGAAAAAGTACTTTACTCAGTTCTAAGTATGTAGCCAAAAAAAATCAGTTACAAATATGCTCCTTTTACCTAACTCAGTTTATCAATTTACTTAAGTTTAATTTTGAAAGCTGTTTAAAATAAGGTTTTAAAGACTGGCTCAGACATGGAACCATTCTGGCCATCGATTCCCGGGTTGAATAGTCTGACTGCATGGTTCGAATGGATTGCCTATTTTGAATAATAAATAATGACCAAAAATCATAGTTCAAGTCGATGGTTCGATTGCCCAGATTAACGGGTTGTTGATCAAATCAACAGATTTTTGTCCCAGGATCTGTTTTAGGGGAACGGAACTGATTACCTGACCTATTCCCATGTCAACCGGTCCGACTATCCGGTCTAGTCCAATTTTCAAAACCATGGTTTAAAATGTTGTATATGAAAACTATAGGATGATGTGGTAAAGACCAACAAAGAGACATTAGTACTTTTTGAGTCTTGGACTCCTAATAGGGAGCACACAAAGGCAGGTTGGCCCAATGGGTTAACCCAGGCACTGGCTCAAACTGGGCTATATTTGATGTTAACGTGTATAAAATGGCCCATAATTAGGATCGAGCTATTCTCTATAAATAGTCAAGCATTAGACTGAAGTTAAAGGCCCATGTAACACGTCTGGTCTACAAATCACAATAGCATGTGCTTCTTGGCATCAGGGATACAGAGAAGCAAAGCTGCAGCAAATCATAACCGTGTAGGTTGATGAACACACACTGCAATAAGATCAAAAGTGCAAAACAATCTTACTAGATTTAGGGGCGGCAGTGATTCGGGTCAGGTTGGGTTCATATATTACACAGATCCCAATTCATGCATTTATTTCTTGGTTGTTGGGTTTGGGCCTCGGTATGACAATAGGGGGTCCAAGAATCAGACCCATAAAATCTTTGCAATTAATTGTTATTCAGAAATTGACAAACTTCTATTCATGCAAATTTATTGGTATGCATACAGTCAATAATTACAAAGCAAAGCTGGATTTGGAAACGAAGCCATAGTGTAGGCAGTATGTTTCAGAGACCATCACTCTTTACTGAATGGGCCCTTGCATTAAAATTAGAAAAAGAGAATTTAACTAGATGTTTTTTTTTTTTTTAAATCACGTTTTTTTGGGCTTTTTTTGGTAAGAGCTTTGGGCAGCCATTTTGAGATTTAAACATTAAAAAGTTTAAAGTTTATTTAAAAATATTTATTTATTTGGTATCTAATTCGGTCATAATTTTTTTGCCCTTGTTCATAGTTATCCTTTTTTTTTTTGAAAATGGCGTTTATGTTTTATTTATATTCTTGACATATTTTTGTTAGTTAAGGAAAATAACTTTGTTAATTTGATTAGTATTTTTAATTTACTTTTCAAAATAACCCGATTTGAAAATACTTTTCAAATAGTTTTTATTTTAATTTTTATCTAATCTCAATTTGTTGGGATCAAAAATAATCACCGATAAGATAAAACCACAAAGTGTTTGAAATATACAACCAAGAAAATCCAATAACAACGAATATAAAAAAACCAAGTGAATAGAAGAAAAATAAGCACCACCAAGAGAACAAAGGGTTTGCATGGTTCAACCTTATTGTCTATATTCATGGGAGAGATGAAACAGTTTTTCACTATGAAAAAAAATAGTAAATAATGTATGATACCTTATGGTTTATAACTCAAACCAACTCTTAACCCTTATATGCTCATTATCCCTTTCTCTCTCAAGTCTCAACCTGAAAAATTCATATATAGAAAAGAATCGTTCACTCTTACGTCAAGAGTACCACCGACGGATCTATGTTGAAGTTAGTGTGGGCAATTACCCCCCACTGAAATTTAAAAAAAGAAACATATTTATGAAATTTATGAATAAATTTAATTTTACCACAATTGCCCCCACTCAAATAAAAATGTAGGAGTCAAATAAAATCTGTTTTCTGAAATGAGGTATTTTTTTCAAAGGTGAATAATCAAGAAATAAAGAAAAAAATGCAATAATGATACCCATGTCTCTCTACTTAATCTCTTCAAATCTAAAGATGACAATTTTTTCGGTCTCTGCTAGGTACCTAACTTAATCCGATTGGGGATGGAAACTACCTTGGAAGAGATGGAAATTAATAGGGGATATACCCGATTGAGATCAGGGATGAGGTATATGTTTTAAAGTTTTTCTTTTATTTTAAGTAAATCTTTTTCACATAAACAAAATAAAAATAAAAATTCAAAGATTTGGGTCCCCAATGGATAACTCATATCTATTAGGGATCAGGGATGAAGGTTAACCTTTTTCACTGACAAAGATCGAAGTCGGGGATGGTGGTTAACTTTCTCACCGATGAAGATCGGGGTCAGGGATGGAGAGTATGATCTTTACCCCAAATTTATCCTATTATGATTAAGTCGATATTATGATAGTGCCTGCCCCCATGATCAAAGGTCCTGATTATTCTCTCAACTTCTCTTTCTCTCACAAACCATGTACCAAAGAAAGCCTTAACCTAAAGAAGAGACAATACTCACTTTTAAATTAAAACCTAATCCAAGGATTGAAAAATAATACACAAATG